GGGTTAGGGTTAGGGTTAGGGTTAGGGTTAGGGTTAGGGTTAGGGTTTGGGTTAGTCTTAGGCTTAGTCTTAGGCTTACGCTTAGGGATGTCTTCAGAGAGAACCAGTCCTTTGCTTTTTTGGCTGGCTGTAGCTGTATGATCAGGTTAGGGTTAGCCAGCCAAATAAATCAAAGGACTGGTCCTCACTGCAGACATCCCTGACCCTAACCCCAACCCTACCCCCTAACCATAACCCTAACTCCAACCCCTCACCCCTCACCCCTCACCCTCACCCTCTCCCTTACCCTAAACCCTAAACCCGAATCCTAACCCTAACCCTAACCCCAAGTCTTCATCCACAGCTTTAATTATTTACACTATGATTCCTCCCAAAAAATAGTGCATTCCTTTTTTTATATACGTTATCCATTTAAAGGAATTCCTATTGTAGAGTATATCTAAATCTAAAATAGGATTTAGTAACAGACTTTTAATAAGAGACATTTTATGTGAAAAATGAGTTTATTTATACAAAATGTTTTACACTGTAAAAGAAATGAAACAATGTAAACAAAATCAAGCTTATTATGAATCACAAAATGTAAAATTTTATTTTCATGCAAGCATCTTATATCATCACGTATCATTGATTAAATTTCATAGCAGCATACAAAATATTCAAACACTCTAAAGACTATAACTGAAATTAGTTTCAATCTAGGTTTACACTCTGAGAAGCTGTGAGTTGTAATTAAGTGAAACTTGCAGTTAGGTTTAGAAGAACCTATAGGGACAAACTTACAAAGTTTAAGGAAGTTGCTTCTTTGAGGACTAAAGAATATCATTTCTATTTTCTGTTGTATAATATACCATTAATGAGGAAACAAAATAAAATACATTAATTTAAGAATTAATAGAGATTTGAATATCTAATCATTCTGATTAAAAATTCAATTACATTTTCCAATAACCAAATTTGTCCATGCCCTATATAAAACTGGATTAATTTTGTTGCTGTTACTGTTACTATTAATCCTGCTTTGCTTTCTTCAATATATTGTGAAAACAGAGGCATGGTAGTCGGACACGTATAACTACCAAAAAGAATTGCATAATGTCAAAATGATGCAGCCTGAAGATATTGTACATATTTCACAGGTAACCACTAGGAAGGGGGGAAATTATCTCCTCCAACAGGCAGCAGATGAATTAGGTCAATCTGTTCCAAAGATGAAATCAAATGAGATCAAGAGTGCCACAACTGATGATTACCTGAGGCGGCTCTTCAGTTCTGGATGCCAAGTTTTACAAGAGTGAGAAAATGAGCCTGTCCCAGATCCACAGCAATCTAGTTGATCAGCTTAGAAGTGATCAGGCTGGAAGTGGAAAAGTCTGGGAGCATAGGGCTCGGTCTCTGCAGCTGCCTTCTGACTTGTGCAAGCGTGGAAATGCCCCTCATGAAAGTTAATCCAGCCTTTCTGTGCGCTGAACCTCTCGGCTTCGGCCAGGATCCTTGTCAGGGCCATGATGTAACTGAGCGCCATCTGAAGAGTCTCATACTTGGAGAGCTTTTTGTCTTGACCCCACTGGGGGACCACTTTGCGCAGATGGTCAAAGGCCATGTTGAGCCCCTGCATTCTTCTCCTTTCCCTGGCGTTGGCAGCCAGCCTGCGCTTGGCGGCGTTCTCCAGGCGTTCAGAGCTGCCTTTCACTGCACAGCCTGCCTCACTGCTGCAGGGGAAGCCAGCCTCTGCAGGGGGAGTCTCCTTAGGGTTTGGCTTGCAGGATTTCATGGGAGAAGCTTTTGCTGAAGCTATCAGGAAAAAAACTGCTTGCAATAGGTGGCTTTTAAGAGGAAATACTTCGCTCCGCTTCAAGAGGATGGACTCACTGTGAAAAGTCTCACCTTCCCCAAATCAACACAATTCAATAGGTATGAAGTTGTCCCTGTTTTGGACAAACCAAGAGGGAAACCTGGCATTCTTCCCACATTGGCTTGGATCTTGGTCCTCTTCATTTCCTCTCACTTTGGAAAGGAAGCCAGCAGCATCTTTGCCTTCAAAGGTTCCAACTTAAGATGGGAAGAAAATTACAGGGAGTGCCAAAAGCTCACCGCATCTCAAAGAGTTTTGGCGCACCTCTGTCCCAAAGGACTGCTTGTGAAGGCAAGGCCAGGTGGGAGAAAGCTACTAGCAGCAGTCTTCCATAGCAATTGTCTCAGATCCGTGGTGACCTGAAGCAAAGAGCTACAGAGGAGGAGAACTCTGTTGCCTCTTCCTCCTGGGCTCTGAGCCCAAGTCACAAGTCAGGGAAGTCTTTATAGAAGCAGCAGCGGGAGCTGAACGGGTTGCAGCAGGTGGGTGGGTGGCCCCCTGCTTCTCTCCGGGCACCTTGCTGCCCTGGGAACGGGATGCATATGCGCACGCCCAGGAAAATCCTGACATTGCAATCTGGGTCTCTCAAAGCCTGGCCTGTCTGACTTGACAAGTTGCCATCTGGAGCAGCGTCTGGCCTGACCCCACAAGAATCACCACAACTAAGCAAAGGTCTTTGCTTCCCAGCTCAGCAAAAAGCTTTCCTGACACATTGCAGGGTTGCTCACTTGCCATAAAGTGCTGGGGGAAGGGGGTGGATTGCAGAAGGGGCTATTATGTGTGAACTCAAGAGGACACAAGAGAAGCAAAAAAACCCACAAAACAAACATTAGAATCTGGAGATTCTCACAACTCGCTTAACATAGCAGAGAGACAGAAGTTGAGAGATGAATAGCTGGACAATAGTTTTAAGGCATATGCTTTTATGGTATTACAAAAGCATTAAAAACGAGATTTGTCAGCCTGCTTTTTAAATAGTAGACCAATACTGTCTATTTGTCACAGGTGGGTGTTGACGGCAAAAGGTGTATGATTTTCTAAATAAGAAACAGAAGGTATTATTTTGTCCTTTCACAGCATATATTGGTCTTCTTAATAAGGCTTTTTTTCATCTTTTTTCTTTCCCACTTGAAAATGTGATGCAAGTTTAAGGTGAATGAATATAATTTCCGGAGTAATTAAATGATTACTGAGCATTTGTTCACAAGTCATGTTTTCATTCGGTTTTGTAACACAGTATTTTGATCTAAAACTGTGGGTCAATTGTTCTAGTTATGACTCCAAAACATCACGTGATTGCAAACAGTTGATTAAACCTTCACAATGACAATGAATGGAGTCGAATAATCTGAAAACAATAGGATTCAATTGAACATTAGTGATCTGCAGCATGACAGATGTTGAGCCCAGCCTGTTAGGCGCAGTTATTCCACTGTTTATATTCTGCTTCCTAAATGGGCTTGTTAATAGGAAGAGAAGGCTGAGCATCTCCAACTTCCAGCAGTATTTGTCTTGTTTATGAATGGCACTGCCCTTGTTCCCACAAGATAATTCCCATGTTATCTTTATTTTCCTTCTATCTGGTCCAAAAAAAAAAAACCCACCTGGTTCTAGGTTCCATATTATTTTCTCAGTGAGATCTGTGGCTGGTCATGTTGGTTATGTGTAAAGACATAAAGCTGTTGATTTTTGTGAAGCTTCAAACTAGTGTTTAAACTCCAGTCAATCTTCCATTTGAATCAGAACTGAGGCTAATCAAAGTAAAAATCTTACTGTATTTAACTCTGTCCTTTGTTTCAATCAGTTTTCAAGCCATACTACTACTCCAAGATCCCTCTCACAGTCACTGCTATTAAGCCTGGTTTCACCGAGTCTATATGTGTACTTTTGGTTTTTCTTGCCTTTGTAAGACTTTATTTTTCTCTAAATTGAATTTAATTTTGTTAGATATGGCCCAGTGTTCAAGTCTGTCAAGATAAAAAATCAACAGCTTGGCAACTGGATATGTTTATGACAGTTGTAGTATTGTCATGCTTCTGGTGGAGACTGACACTGAGGGAGAGGAGGAACAGACGGACAGATGGACGGACGGATGGACAGACGGACGGACAGACAGACGGATGGACAGACGGACGGACGGACGGACAGACGGACAGACGGACGGATGGATAGATGGACGGACGGACGGACGGACGGACAGATGGACGGACAGATGGACGGACGGATGGACAGACGGACGTACAGACGGATGGACAGATAGACGGACGGACGTACAGACAGACAGACGGACGAACAGACGGACGGACGGATGGACAGACAGACGGACAGACAGACAGACGGACGGACAGACGGATGGACGGATGGATCCATCTGGATCTTGAATCTATCTTCTTGGGTGTTAGCTATTCCTGCAAGCTTAGTATCATCTGCAAATTTGGTAAGTTCCCCTTCTATTTCCTCTATAGAATAAACTATAGAAATTAATTAAATAAATAAGTAAATACATAAATAAAATTACAATCCCCAATTACAATATACTATAATATAGGTTTTAGGGGGGAGATCTTCATGTGAGAAAATGAAGATCCTAATCACAATAGCTGGTGAGAAATACAGAATTAAAACATGGTAAATTTAGAATTGATATGCTAGCAGATATATGAGAAAGATTGATTATTTTAAGTTCGTAGACAATAATTTCAAGATGCACTTAACTGCCTTAAGGTCCGGAAAATGAAGGCATTCTACTATTAGAACCAAGTCTTTGCCAAGAATGCAAGGATTCTACAGAATAACCCTCCAGCTGAGCCTGTAATGCAGAGGTCTCTAAACTTGGCAGCACAGCTGGCTGGAGAATTCTGGGAGCTGAAGTTCACAAGTCTTAAAGTTGCCAAATTTGGTGACCCCTGCTATAACATTATTCATATTCACTCCAACTCATTACAGGAGTTAGCAACATTTTATTTATTGCAAGATTTATGCCCTACAACAGGACTCCTTAACTTTTCAGGCTTTGCAGACCGGCAGCAGCAACGCCCGCAGCGGCCGAGGGGGACAGAGGATGGTTTGTGTGCGCACACCCACCATTTGTGGAAATAGAGCTTCCCTCACTGGTGTGCTCACCCACAACTTGTGCGGCCCTGTTTCCAATGGGCTGCAGACTAATACTGGGCCGCAGACTGGAGGTTAGGGACCCCTGCCCTCCAATACATACACTACAGCGAGAAGTGCCTACAATGGTAGGCCCGTTGAGCAGCACCCTACACCATTGCCCCTATCGCCTTCCACTTCCATAAAGATGGCAAGCGCCTGTGCGGAAGGCCGAAGCAAAGATAGCAAGATAGAATAAACGCGGATGTGAAAAATGCCCAGTTAGACTCAGATGTTGCGTTTGATCGCACAAATGTGCTTTTTGGTCCCAAAAACTAACTCTGCACCAGCAGGAAAAAAAAAAAAACCACGATGATGACGAAGACGATGTTGATATTTATGTGCCATTTTATTTTGTACAGCTCAGGGCAATACATGCAATGCTCCACCCTCTACTTTCTGCATAACACCCCTATAAGCTGGGTTGAGATGAGAGAAAGTGATTGATTTCATGATAATTTCTATAAATTGTACCCAGGGAATCCCTTACAGTGCAGTATATATTGATTTACTTTGTATCAAATGTTTCAAAGGAGAAGATGATGCTTTGTCAGATTTTTACTTCCAGTTCTCGGTACATCTGCTTGACACACCTTAAAGAATATTTGGTAGCCAACACATATACAATTGCTCTCCCCTCCCTCCATTCCCTTACTCGTCAGCAGTGATAGGATTCAATTTTGTTTTTACTACCAATTCTGTGGGCGTGGCAGGGGAAGGATACTGCAAAATCCCCATTCCCTCCCCAACCCACTAACCTGCTTTCCAGCTCTGTTCTCCTGTGCAGGGTAACCAAAGAAGACCCAGCCGATCAGCTGGGACTCAATAGGAGGCAGAGAATAGATGGGGGCGGGGCCAGTCAGAGGTGATATTTGCCAGTTCTCCGAACTACTCCAAATTTCTGCTACTGGTTCTCCAGAACTGGTCAGAACCTGCTGAAGACCACCTCTGCTTGTGAGACTAGAATTGAAATCCGTCACAAGGATCTAGACTGGGCAGGTGCTTCTATCGTTCCCCCACTTTACCTCCAGTTACTAGACCTCCTGATTCTTGTAAAAATTAAAGTTAACCTGGGAATCAGAGTTTAGCATTATATTCAATGCCCTGGCCCAGTGTCTGGCTTGTCATTCAGAGATTTGTGATCATAACAGTATTGTGCTGGCAGATGACACAGACCTATTATTTTTTAATTCCAATTCATCTCCTTGTGCAAACAGGCATAAAATTACAACCTTCCACCCAGCGTGTCTTATTGATTTCCAATGGGCACAGTATGGCAGATGTTGTTTGGTTGTTTGCTTTGACCTCCACTAGTGACTCGGAGAGCTTTTCAGCTTGGTCGCTTAGGGTTTTCTCAGCAGGGAAGCCCCACCTTTGGCTGGAGGCTTCTAAGTGGATCCCATATGTTGGGTGGTGGGAGGGCCTGGCTGATGGGAATTAACTCCAAAGGAGCTTCCTTGCGTTATGGCTTGAGCTGGCCCAGAAAGTATTAGACATGCCTCCAATCTAATTAAATATTTTTGCCTTCTACTGATGAACAAAAGAAAACAAAGACAAGGAAGGAAGGAAGGAAGGAAGGAGGGAGGGAGGGAGGGAGGGAGCAGGGTACCCCATTTGCAAGTGGTTAGATAAAGTTGATCCTGAAGTCAAAAGGGCATGTTTAGTAAGCTTCTATTGGACCAAACCAGTTATCTAAATAATATTTGATTGCTTTATGAATTACACAGTTGGTCCAACTTTGAGTTATTTCATTTACAGAGAAGCTGTAC